GACGTACAAATGTACAACTAACGCAGAGCTGAATGTTTTCTATCACATTCGTATGATGAAACCGTGTCTAAGGTGACATCTTTATCTATGAGAGATCGCTATGCGTGGTATCAGTGATGAAAGTAATGTTGGTATCAGTATACCCCCTGTCTAATATAAAGTCCTGTTCATGTATCACTATACATTTAATCTATAAAGTAACCTTCGGAGTAGCAATAAAACGTCTACCGCCAGTAAACATCACACGGAGTCAGATTCGTCATATTCACTTATTTACTTTTTCACAACAGTATTATCAGTATGAAAAATGAAAACAAACAGCTCAGTGACCTTGACGCCGTGTGATTTAGTGTTGATGGGGCGGTATTTTCTCTTTGATATACACTATATATATCGTCGATGACAGGAATATCAGAAAACCAAGTATTTTGTCATCGTGTTTTATTTCAGCAAAATCAGAGATACAAGTTCGTGGTGTTTCAAACGCAAGTAATGAAATCGATCGGGTTCTTCTCTTCCACGATGTAGAGTATTATCATGTTTACCAAATATTTTCGTCAATAGCATGTGTTACTGTATGTTTGGTTTCCTTTTTATATGGTTTATTTATTATATTTTATTTATCTATCTATGATTTATTTATTTGGTAATGTTTATATAAAGTTAATCACAAATATTGGAAATGATTCGTGGAATTGCTTTTCATTTTACCCATAATCCATTGCTTATATAAACATATTCTGTCATATATACGAATATTTACATCTCTTTGATGAATAGGAACTGGTGCTTTTAAACCCATAGCACAAGGTTTCACCAGATGTAATTGGTATACAATGCGAAGTTAACTGGTAGCCATCATGATCCCAGTTGGAAGTTTTCCTTGTTTTATATAAATACGGAGGAGTTTGATTATAATATTGATAATAATAAAATACAGCATTTGATATAGCGCCCTATCTAGCTAACCTAAGCCACTCTTAAGCGCTTTACAGTACATAGATATACAATTTTACAATCAAGACAATTATCATGTACATTAATGAATACAATTTGAGGAATTCGCATGAGCTGCCTTATCAGGCGCTAGCTATTAGTCCTATGCCACCTGGCTAATATCTCCCTATGTGTGTATGCCTGCGTGTATGCTGGAGATCTGCTGGAGATGTAATATGCTCATAAGTGTGCTTTTCTGGTTTCGTTCTCTCTTCCCCGGTTCCTTGTTCGAGGACGTTTGCTACTTGAATCTCGTCTACTTTTACTATACTCATTAGTGTGATCTTCGGTTTCGTTATTACTTCCTTGGTTCCAAGTTCAAGAACGTGACATTACACGAGTTTCCTCTACTTTAATCACACTCATTAGTGTGCTTTGTTATTTTGGTTCTTGTGGATGTGACATGATTCGGATTTAACCCAGATTTATATGGTGGATGTAGTCGATGAAGCAGAAGACGCTTACCCTTCCAGAACACCTGGTCTTATTCTATTTTTACTATTTTCAGATGTCTCCTTGTAATGTTTGTTTTGTGCATATTTTGCAACAGTTTTAACACTTTTCATTTCAGACAACAGTTATGACAGGAACTGACGATATTCTATTATCGCTTTTGTTCTTGTAATTTGTAGAATAGCATGACAATATTTAGCTGCCTTCTCGGATTGTGTTATTATAGATAGTTCGAGCATATTATGTGATTACTTAATCGTTTTATTTACAATGGGAGGGATCTTATTGTGATGAGCTTTAAAAAAGACAATTGGCAGCTGATATCGCTTACAGGAATTGTATAATTATTAAACAAACGAAGCTAGCATGCTGCTTTATTTTAATTTGATTTTATTCACTTTTATCCAATTTAATGGTATACCACACTGTTCCGCTCGTTCTAAACATTTTTGTTGTTAATTATATACGTTATTGAAAATGGTTGATATGTGTGGTGGCATTTACAATGTCGGTGTTGCATTTAAAGAGTTTGGATAAAAAGTGAATGATTAGGTAGATATGAATATTATTACAACTGGATATAGAAATTGGGATCAGAGTCAGATGTATAGCCACGGATTCATTTTTAATATCTTCTTTCCCATATCCTTTGGGAAAACGTTTCAGGAGAAAACACGATGTCGGATTTTCTATGCGTCGAAAAGCAAGTTAAGACTCAAAGGAAATTTAGTTTCCTTAAGAATTTGTCGAAAAAATAAAGAAATAACGCAATGCCCTCCCATCATATGAAACAGAAATAGACTACAGAAAATTTCATCAGTGTTCACATATACTGACACTGAGAGAAATGAAGGGTAAATGACACGTGCACGAGCGTGACCCTGAATTTACCAGGTGACCTTTATTTGCCTAATTAAAAACAAATTAAGGTCAAGCTAGTTAATTTCGTGCTTTATTGAGATGTTGGTTTGGAATCTATTTTGATAACACACATTAGCTATTTAAAGCACAAATTTGTAAGATGGCTCATTAAATGTGTATTCATTATACCTTATATATGTAAGATTCAGTTTGACCGTGAGACCAACAGAGCACACATCTGTCGCCGTTTTAGAAATATAAAGATAAAGTTTTCTATACACTTTTCGATATTCTTTAAACCGGAAAATATTTCTCAAATATTTACTCTATTTACTGTCGTAAATCAGGATTGAAACATTGTACTCCTTCAATTATATATATTTGTCATTTGAAATTACTTCTGCGAACAACAGCTTCATAGAGATTCGTTCATTGTGGATAATAACCTCTGCATTCCAATAGCATAGGCTTGAAGCTCCAAACAACGTGTCATTATGCTTAAATTATACTTTTTCAAAGAATTTCATTTCACTGTGAATGTGTTACATGAAGAAAACATACGTCTTTTGGTTTGTGAACATATCTAAAATATATTTGAAAAGAATAAAAATCCACTCAAATTATATGTACCACTGCTCCAGTAAGTCGTAGTATTTTAGTGTATATGATATAATTCCTGTTATTTTTGTGATTCACAACTCTTGATATTTTTATCCATTTGTTTCCCTTTACCAAATCTTTCCTCTCGGCAGCGTTACATTCAGAAAAAAACAATCATGCTTACAAATGTAGATATTTGAGTGTCCAATTGTTTATATATTATCCCTTTTGCCCACATTAAGGACATTTAAAACAATTTACGATTTAATTTTTATGCATTCAAATGGTTATGTTCACATATAATCATCAATTATGGGGTTTTGGTCAGGAAGATATGTGGTTAAATGGACATAAAAAAATGGTATTGACGAAGACGAAATGAAAGTTCTTAACATTTATATTAGACACTGAATAATGATTTGATCATTAAACAAGATGAAACACATGGAAAGTGTACGGCGGAAAATATTGCATTTGGCAGAAAGTATTGAGAAGTTACCATTCGAATGACGTCATTAATTGAATATTGACCTGCTGTTTCTAAAATAAGTAATCATAAATCACCGACCTCCACCGTGATTATGATCCCATCAATGAGAATGAATGATACATAGGTGTCATCAAATATTGATAAAACAACTCCTTTCAGTATTTATTATATATAGTTTCTCGTAATCATTAATATTAAAGGGTTGTGAATATAAGACGATATTTTACTACGTATTAAAAATTCTATGCTTGTATACTATACACATGTATTATGGAGTGTGTCAATTTATTAAACGCGTTTGAATTTAATTTTACTTTTGCTGTTTCCTTAGATATTATGAAAAGACTGGGTCAAGTGTCATGCTACCGTATCCAGGTTAAGATATTTCAGTGGGATTGCACTTGAAAGAAACCCCTTTGTTGGCCTCATTCACCGGTGACACTGTCGTCATATTACCTAAACTCCTGTTTACCCACACTGTCGACCTTTTCAATATTCATGCAATATATTCTGTTATCTGCCCTTATTGTCATATATTTCACCATATATTAACAACAACCTGTTCAACGGTACATCTGTAAAAATAAAACACAGTTTCCGATTGTAGGAGCGGATGTAATTAGGAAAACATTGAAAAGAAATAAAATATAAAACCTGTAATTTGTAATACAATATTTTGTATAAATACGCACTATTACTTCAACTATTCTAAAGCGTACTGTAAACTATGTGCGCCATTTCATGTCATTCCTAAAGAATCTTAATTGATACATGACCCGGAGGGAGAATGCGATCGTATCACAGAGATGATTCCTAAGTAGGGTCAAAAATATTTATTTAAAGTTTACATCTATTTTAGATACACCAGACAGGTTGCCAAATCCTTAACCTATTCAACTTCATGATAGGGTTGAGTGGAGATGGTATTGATAACGTATTGGATATCTAGATCCGTATTCGGTAGTGGATATCAAGACGCTTACTGTATACTTAGACGAGCTTCATTAACATAGATTGCCTGTACAGCGGTCAACTCGGTCTTTAAGTGTAAGCAAAGAAGTAAATACAAGCTTACATCGGACTGCTATTAAAATAGAAAGGAGTTCATCAATAGCACAAAACCGTGATAGATGTTAAAAGAAAATTGATTGGGCGAGCCGAGAGTATGCTTCGGCCAACGACGAAAACAGGCATTTAGCTACGTTTATGATGTCTGACTTTTCTGAATCCGTCGTTAAGGATCCCCGTCCCAGCCAGAGCAAAACACAAAATAATTCCACTGTCGTTTTTCAGTGTTAGAGTCACCTGCCCCTGATTACCATTTCGACAATGTTGTTGTTATGTTCCCTGGAATAGATTTCGTTTAGTATTATTGTTAGAAAATTACTCAGTTTTTTTGTGTTTTGTTCATCAATATTGACATTATTATTATTTTTATGGTTTATATTTCTAATAAACCATTGTTGCATCAAATAAAAAGTATTTTGTTTTATTTTGTTCCATTGAAAAAAAAAATGAAAAAAAATATCGAAGTTTCATAATATCCCAAAAAATCTGAAGAAACTCCCGTAAGGTATGGGTTATTGTTCAGAAATGATTTGGTTATGCAATAGCGATGCCGTAGGAAAAAAAAAATGCCTCACTACATTTTTAGGCGGAGGGACGGGGATTCTTAAGTGTCAAGAAACAATATTATGTCAACCTTCTTATATACATCCATAATCGCTGGCCAAGGGTACCGATCCGGTCTATGTAGACCTACCTGAAATTAACCCTGGGCTTGCGAAGATGATATAAACCAAACACCCTGGAAATATGCTAGTTATCACAAAATATCAAACATTTATTCCAGTATGAAACATATCCCAAAGTCCAGGGTATGTCACAATCATGTTGACAAGGTAACCGAAGTACGTTTACTGTCACGTGGACTCAATAATCGGAGTATAATACACATCTCACACCGCCAGATAAGTCGCAACCACATGGACATGTTAAACCAATATACCTCCCAGGGCCCAGGTACATCACAATCACGTGGACACGATAATCACAGAACCATACACTTCGCACGGCACCAGGTACATCGCAATCACGTGGACACGATAATCACAGAACCATACACTTCGCACGGCACCAGGTACATCACAATCACACACACACGATAACACAGGAGCATAACTTCCAACGGTCCAAGTTACGTCACAATCACGACGACACGATAATCCAAGAAGTATATACCTCCCACGGTCCAAGGCACGTCACAATGTCTTCCACATGACAATCCCAGTATAATGATACAATTACCACGGTCACTGGTACGTCACAATCAAATAAAACACCATAATCATAGTATTATTTACCTCCCACGGTCCAAGGCACGTAACAATCACGTGTATACGATAATTCCAGTAGTAACACCTCCCACAGCCCACGTTATTTTAAAGATTCATGATCTTCGTTTCATGATGATGTCAACATCCAAGGATTTATGAAAAAAGTGCAGGCGTGCAGTTAGCAATGGGAACCACGGAGTCGCACGTGACTTGAAAAATATGGACACATCAGTAACCTTCCTTAAAACTTAGTATCTAAAACTGACTTAAAACCAAAGAAAACAATTGTTTTTGAAAGTAACCGTTCACTTCTGTAGCTATATTGTTGTCCCTGTAAAGTTCAGGAAGCACCTTCACAGTAACAAACCATCAAAATGAAGTAGCTTATAATGATACATCTGTCAAGTCACATAGAAAAAAAAGTTACCACTACATAAACCAATACGGTCATAGTAGATCAATGATGAGAAGCTAGATAAGGGTTTTATTTTCAATCATGATCAATTTCTCCTGAATATTAGTCATTCCTGATTATTTCAGAGTGCAATGTGTTGACTTTTGTTTTTGACCGTTGGTACAGTGAACGGTTAGAGGTGCTGGTAGGGTTGGTAGGACATGTGTTCATCCTTTTCTGATCAGCATTTGCAACAATTCGGAACCTATCGGGACGTTTGGTTGCATTGCAGCTGATTTCAATGGCTCATACTTTCTTTGGCAGATGTCTATGTAAGATGAAGTGCATTAAACGTTTCGATTCAAGAACTGAAAAACCGAAGCAATCGCGAAGGTGGTCATCTGTAAGACCACTCAGCATGAATCCGTCAATCATGTCAGATCGAAATGCCGCTTCGTATTTATAAAGATTAAGCATTTTCAGCACTTCAATAACGTCGTTTATGGTCATATGATCGAAGGGCATTTGAGGGTCAAAGGTCATCTTTTGACCTGGTTCTGTCTTAGGGTCATTCAGCGCCTGGTGTGTAACGTAACGTGCGCTGCTTTGATATTTCCCACCATCGTACTCGTTGTCTGTTTCTCGCCCGTCTTTACGACGCTCTCGCAATGAATTTGGCAGTCGTTTTGGAGGTAAGAAATCGTAATCGATTTCCGGTTCCGGGATGACAGGTGACGTAATTTCACTCTCTTTTTTTCTTTCGCACATTTGCATCAGTTCGTTTGTCAATTTCTTTAGAGTATCAGGTCTGTTCTTGTCGTAAAATGGTATGGCTGTCCGAGATTTCCTCTCATATTCTACCTTCTCCTCTACTTCCTCCCCTCTCTCATCCTCATCTGTTTGCAGATTTTTAGAAGAACTATATTTCGGTGTTTCTATTTCTTTAGGTTCAACGTGTAAAGCATTTTCCTTTCTTGGAGGCAAGATCGGCGGCAGACTGATATCTTCCGGTGGAGCTGTCGGATAAACGGGCTGCCGCTGTCTGGGTGCTGGGACTGGCCTTTTCAGGTCACGAATTTCATCTAATGGTGTGTAATCTCGACTGAATGCAACGATTACCTCGTCATCTCCGTCTGTTTGTGTCTGCGACGACTTGACTGTGTCTTCACGTCGTTTTCTGTTTGAGTTATCACCAGCTGTTGGGTCCTGGTTATATCGCGGGTCATCTGCCCTCAGTGGAGGCTGATACTGTCGTGAGTTGGGCGTTGTATGGTTTTGTCTGTGTTCGGACGTTTGTAATAACAAGTTACGATCGGGAACTAGGTACTCACACATCTCAGACCTGGCCAACGTGCTTTTATCCTCGATAAAAATGGAAATGTCTGAAACGTACAAAATACAAATCACTTTGATAAAGTTAATTGCATTATATAAAAGATATTGGAGTGTTTGTGAAAATAATTTAATGAAAACTATATGTTTTACCTTTACCATCATTGGTTCTTACCTGTTTATGTGACAGAAGTTTGATAGAATAACGTTTGAATACTTTTTGTCTGAATATTTCAGAATTACTGGTATAAAACGACGGCACTTCAAGACAAAGAACTATTTTTGTTTCAGTAGAAAAATAAACAGATCATTTATCATCCCTACTGAGGAATTTAGCATCATGCTTTAGATACGAATTATTTTCATTGTTTATCGTCAAATATCCTTGATATTTACATGCATTCATTGCATCATTTATAAGCTGAGTGAGACTAGTAGGATACTGTGTGATGTTATACAAGTATGCATTAGTTATTAAGTTACTATAGACAGCATCATATTTGGCAGACCGTGACAAAGGTTGATGGACAGAGGCAGTGATTACGTATGCTAGTAGGGACAGTGACTTGCTTGATCGGCAGAGAGGGCGATTTGTTTGGTTTAGTATGAATTAACTTCCTATCAACAGCCATGATCATTTAAGGACGGCCTCCCCTTCTGTGCAAGATGCATGCGTGCAGCGAATGCGTGTGTGTTTTTGGAGGCTGCGGTATATTCGTGTTTGTTTCCTTGTGATAGCGCGGAATTGATGCCGACTTAATAGTGCTACCTCAATGAAACATACTGCCGAATTTTCCCAGCAGGACACCCAACCCGGTCACATTTTACTGACAACGGGCGAACCAGTCGTCCCACTCCTAAATTGCTGAGCGTTAAGCAGGAGTAGAAACTAACATTTTTACAGACTCTGGTATGTCTCGGCTAGGGAACAGAACCAAAAGCCTTTCTCACAGGGACGAACGCTCAACTAAAGGCCAAAAGTGAGGCATTGTCAAGGGAGACATAAGGAAGAAGAAAGTTGTTTAGAAATAAGAGAAAAGATAAGATCCCAAATTTAGTCGCCTCTTACGATCATGCAATTGAGGGCAGTATGTACAACTCTTACGCCCTACCTGCAGGATCCCAGAGCGGGCGAATAAACGTGACTAAATTTTACTCAGAAACGTTTTGATGACATTCCTTTCTTTTACAATCACTTCATTGGCGAGATTTGTAAAAAAAAATATATTAATGCTACATGTAGATCACTACGAAGGTGCAGTTTGTGGAATATCAGTCAAATCAAACAAGCGGAATAGTTTTTTATGTCGCCAAAAGAAGCCGTACAAAAAGTAACTTGTGCTCAAAAGTATTACAGTATATGCTGTCTTGTTGAAAATCGGTCCATCTATTCGTTAGGGGGACATTCTTTTAGAAAGGCAATTACGTCTCAGGATTTAAAACAATATATATCGTTAAATTGACGTATAAAATTAATTATTTGATTTATTTACTTATTCTTTAAAGGTCCAGACACGTTATTGACCTCTGATCTTTACCTCTATTTCCATGACGCACATGTAGATCAATTTCCTGTAGAGCGAATGCGTACAGTTTGTCAATGTAGAGCATCCACCGGTCGTTGATGCCCTCCGCAAATCCATCCACCACGCTGATCTCGACGTCAGGTAAGTATAGTGGAATGGCTGCCACCTGTTTGTAGTAAAGGGCACCAGTTCCTAAAATCATAACAGATATATGAATATTTGTTCCCTATCCAAGCCATACGTTATATTATCTTTCACCACTGCGTATTGGCCGTGGTGGTCAACGTGGGGCAGATGCCAGGTCGGTGGTTTTTCTCCGGGTTCTCCGTCTTTCTTCCGCCAACAAAACCTAAAATGCGTCCTTAAATGCCAATAATTGTTCATATAACGTAAAACACAAACAAACCACCATTGCGTATGTAAGGCACACCTATCCCACGAGGGGAAGGATGATCATTGGCCAAAACGAGGCTTGCCAAATGATTGGTAACGCTGTCCCAAGGGAGAGAATTATTCGTTGTTCTCTTTCACTGTCCTATATCTACATATGCCCTTCCCATTTTCCATTAACTCTATTGAAAGTCAGTCTGTAGTTACCCTGCATTATCGGGTCACATTACCATGGTTTCCGTAACGTCAGTGTTAGCAACCACTCCCCTGATACGATAGCCGCCATCTTGTTGTTGTCGTTTGGTTCAAACAAGTTGCATTTTAACGGGTTTCGCAGACAATGAAATCTTCCAGAACAGGAAGGCAAGTTCTTACTTTTGTATTAAACTGTACTACACATATAAGTAGAGCATCAAACTGCATTTAACAGTTGTCGCCTGGTAACATTTTTTAATGGCGACTGTTGTTTGGAAAGTTTTTGGTCGGATAATGGCCGGCAGCAGGAAATATAAATTAGGCTCATCCGACTAATTAATAAAAGACAGCCCGTATGAGTGAACGGACGTCATTCTATTTATCTGTCACCCAGATTGCATTCATATTGGCTGTAACTGCAATCTGACAGACGTTCAATCCTTTTAAAAATACAGAATACATTGTTGACGTTACAGAATCAATTCATTGCGTAACGTCATACTATTATTTTGACTGGGGAATCCCTCGTCTGGACCCTCGGGTGAGATTAGTAGAATCTTAAATTTCTAGCCGAGATTTTAAGAACATTTCCCCGGAGGTTTGTATTTCTCTGTCTTACTTCCAAACTGGGGAATAACTACGCCACCTCATATACGAGTGTGATATTACAGACTCGTCACTTAACGCTGCTTCACCAATCAGAAGGGAATTAGCACCATACGTCATTAGAGAATTCCCTCTACCTTTTACACATATATTCGGGTGATATCACCTTTCACATGTGAACATATCACCAATAGAGGCTGATAATTTCAAAGTTGACATTTGTATTATCAGAGCAGTACCCACCATTAAACGTACTGAAATCTGTGGAAGCGTTCAGTCTGGAATATATAGATAATTAAATAAAACTTCATATCCAGTAAAACCTACCTAAACATATCGTTTAGTCTACTAAACACTTGAATTTCTCACCAGATTACATTCAATTTTATACAGAATAAAATAATAAAAAACAGAATACTAATAAAAATTAAGTTGGTAAGGCAATAACAATGCACACCTTGGCATTAGCGTTCAATTAGGGGTAGATCCGTGATAAATTTACTAGATGTAATTACTGCGGTCTTCAGTTTGCCTCGAAAAAAACCCAGAAAAATACAGTAGACGGAATCTACGTTTTTACATAGTGCTTTCTACGGTAACCAAATTAACATTTAATACATTGAAGAGTTATCTGTATCAATTTAGGAGAAATATGATAAATTAAAAGACATCTGTATTATCTAATTTAGGAAATATTATATTAAGAATAGCGATATCAGATAAAATCATATTGATATGAGATATCTTTATTACATTTGAAGATATATTTAACTCAATTAGAGATATTTTTCATTCATTTAAGCAATGAACGTTTTAACAAATGTTGTTTTGGTCCTATAACACACATTGGTATTGATGACAATCTTGATCGGTAAGTTTGTCAGCAATAAAAATATGTGTTATATATATAGGACCATAACAATATTTGCTAAAATATTCATTATTTATATTTATATTTTGATGGAATAATATGCTTTATTAAGTTATTTCGAACAGTTTTTGAACCGCAAATCAAATGTTGATAGCAATGAAATTGATGACGACACAATAGAGATTGATGACGTTACAATAGCAAATGTTGTTATAGTATAAATGTTGTTATAGTATCATAACAACATTTGCCATCTCATTGTATTGCAGTGGAAGGATGCAGAGCAAATGTAAACATATAAAGATATACATATTTCAATTTAAGAAATCTCTATTTCTTTTAGAGATATCTTTATTACATTAAAATTTCTTTGAAATACTTTTGATTTTTACAATAACTCTGCTGGTTTGAACTGTTTAGTTGGCTTGCGATTAATTTCACATTATAGTTATCCATCGTTAATGTAGGAATATAAAGAAAGGACATGTATTACCTTGGTTAATGAGGTTTCCGAGGAGATATATTTCTTTGTATTTCCCCATCACAAGGAGATTGGACATTTCAGATGTTGTAGTGGAGCACGGGCCTGTGTCCAGTCTGCGTTGGTCAGTCCGAGACATCTGCACCTGGAACGGTGGGTCAAATTTCCTGAGGAGTGACCACATGAAATCCTCATGTCCAACTGTTGACAAATAAAAGTTGAAATATGAATCGTTGATGGCGTGTATGGTCAGACGTTGCAGACGGATGTTGTTTTAGACTAAACGTAGGTAGGCAAAGGAAATGAATGAAAAAGCGGGGGTTTTAGGATCGGTCAACCATGGCATTTATTGGTTCTGTATTCAAGAGTTTTCTCCGAATATCATGACTTCTGTGATAGATATCGACTATTGATGGACAAAATTACAATATATGGTTTACAAATATATGGTCGCCATCATTATTTCATATGGATATTCCCGATTTCTGGGACGTTCGATGGGTTTTATTATGCTTATAAGTGTGTCTCTTGGTTTTGTTGTCACTACCTGAGCTGTCTTAGGACGTGACATTAATTGGACTTGACCTAAATTTACACGACGGGTTTTTGTTGATGAAGCAGAGGACTTTTACCCTTCCGGCACATCTGGGCCCGTATTCATGAAACCGTTCTCATGCTCAACCATGGATTTGTGCGCAAACCGACTTTCTTGTTACTCACTTAAATCAAGTCACACGATCAAAAAATCAAATGTAAACACTGAAAACAGAAGTCTCTTCAAGATTTTTTTCCAAATCATTGACAAAATAAGATTTTATTATTAATTTATAAACGAAACAAGAAATTCGGCTTGAGCACAGAATATATACTTGAGTATGAGAACGGTTTCATGAATACAGGCCCTGGTCTTGTTATCCTTGTACATTTAAAATGGTTACCAAAGTACATATTTCATTTGTTCATATTTTCCCTACACGGTTTTGTTAACACTTCGGAATTCTCTACTTGTTTTTTAGACTGTTTAAAAATACTTAAACGGTAAACTCTGTGCAGTTCAACAAAGTACAGATGTACTTGAGTTTTTATTTTAGACAGTAGTGCGTAGATAGTTTATGATACCCGTATTTCGACCGTATTTCACCTAGCTTCTTGACAACTTATCTAAACAGCGTGAAGACAGTTAAGATAGTTATAAGGGTGGTAATTTTAAGAAAGAATTTGGTTTGTTTCAGACAACTCTATCGAGATCTTTCTGTCTTCCTTAAACAGCTATATCATGCATGCATGTACAATGCCGAAGGGAGGTAACTCATATACAATTCCTCGTTGCATGACTTAATCGGACCACGATGTTCAGAATACTGTAAATTATTTGACATTAGTACAATATAGGATGCATTGGTGCTCTGTGCACACTGATATAAAAAGAAAAATCTTTCGGGTAGAATACTATACTGGGTGCATTCGGCATGGTATTACAGCGAGGCACGTCCTTAAATGAACGTATATGTGTCAATAACCAAACGCATATCCTGTGGTGCACAAACATAGCACGTTTCTCAGATAAACAAGATAAAAGATACTGCCACCTTTAAGCCGGCTCTCCACACGTCTGAACTTGATAGGGTACGACAACGGAATGCTGATCAGACATTTATCAGCGGAGACAGCAGGGATATTGCCTCTTGTCATTGCCCGCCTCTGTCGGTAGACAGCATGGATAAAGAAATACTGCAAATAGAGTAGATCTGTGTAAAAACTTTGAAAATATTAGACAAAATCTGATTGATTTTTATAGTACAAAGTACGTCAAAGGAGTTATTTAATTCATCTGGAGCATCCGGATGTTTGTCACAAATACATGCTATCTTATACAGTGAAACATGGATATAACGCCCCTCGTTTCGTTTGCCACCTTGCATGCTGCTAACATATTTCAATATCCCCTTTTCTTGTTTACTTTTTAATTCCTTTTTGGTTTTTGAAACCTCATTTTCTCTCAGCGTTTGTACTACAATATTCCCACTCCTACCACATCTTTATCTTCCATTTGTTGAAAAGATATGGATGACATTCATCATTAATACATTTGCATGTGACTGGATGTACAACAAACTTAATATTTCACTGGGTATACACGTGATAGTATCTAGGAGAATGCAACGGTATTTGAAAGAATGTAATTGTATTTGAAAGGGTGCAAATATGTTTTAAAATACATATTTTGGGACACATAGTTGTTTTTGATAGAAACAAATACAATTTAATTAAATGCAATGGTATTTGAGAAAATTATTCATTTTATAGGAAAAAAAGAAATTTGATCAGAATTTGAATGTTTAGGGTATTTGAGAGAATTAATTGATAAGTAATGAGGTGCAATGATATTTGTAAGGGTATGTTAAAAGATACAGCTGTGATTAGAAAGAATGTAATGGTAATTGAAATAATACCAAACTACGTACTCCCGCTTCTAAATATTACTTGATCTACGATTTTTATCTGTTTGATGTTTTCTCCTTTGGTAATATTCTTATCTTAACAGTGATTACGTTCATTAATCATGGCATATATACATAACATGTATGTGTGTCTGTGAAATGTATTCGATCACTGCTTAAATATTGTCTAGAGTTCTTTGAACAGAAAGGCTAGCCCGTATAAGACAATGAATCATGGCATATATACATAACATGTATGTGTGTCTGTGAAACGTATTCGATCACTGCTTAAATAGAGTCTAGAGTTCCTTTGAACAGAAAGGCTAGCCTGTATAAGACAATTAATCATGGCATATATACGTAACATGTATGTGTGTCTGTGAAACGTATTCGATCACTGCTTAAATAGAGTCTAGAGTTCTTTGAACAGTAAGGCTAGCCCGTATAAGACAATTAATCATGGCATATATACATAACATGTATGTGTGCCTGTGAAATGTAGTCGATCACTGCTTAAATAGAGTCTACAGTTCCTTTGAACAGAAAGGCTAGCCTGTATAAGACCATTAATCATGGCATATATACATAACATGTATGTGTGTCTGTGAAATGTAGTCGATCACTGCTTTAACAGAGTCTAGAGTTCCTTTGAACAGAAAGGCTATTCCGTATAAGACAATTAATCATGACATATATACATAACATGTATGTGTGTCTGTGAAATGTAGTCGATCACTGCTTAAATAGAGTCTAGAGTTCTTTGAACAGAAAGGCTAGCCCGGTTAAGACAATTAATCATGGCATATATACATAACATGTATGTGTGTCTGTGAAATGTAGTCGATCACTACTTAAATAGAGTCTAGAGTTCTTTGAACAGAAAGGCTAGCTCGTATAAGACAATCAATCATCATTGTTGTTATTATTAAGTGGTTGACAGTATTAGGAAATATGTATTATATCCTAGTACTCCTTTGGCAGAACGTCACAATAAATGACAGCAGACAGTGTATCGTATCATAGTAACTAACTGGAAACCTACCTGTCCTGCACCAATAGTTTCCACGGCGTTGTTTCCCGCGAATCCTTGGTCAATGTATATGATAACCGGAAGAGTCACATTTGATTCGTAAAACTCCTTCAGTGTATAAGTCTTGTTCCTTCGTCTAAATATTGACGCCATCTTGCCTGTAGAACATAATGTGTGTCGAAGGAGTTACATTAATATGTGTATGACCTTTCCCTCGAACTGATAACCTCTACTTGATAAAACGCATACCTGTTGTTAGAGGCTTATCATAAACAATGTGATATCGACACATTATATAACGTATTATATAACATAAGATACTAACAGGGGCTCTTTTATTTATATTTTTCCTACACCTTTTGAATGAAATCAGAATGTTTTTATTCTTACATGTATGAAATGGACAATTTCAATGCGAATGCATTCGTATATCTATCAAATACTATTTGTCTGTTATCAATCACAGTTAAAATTGTCTTACTAATATTCGGGTTAAATGGTCCTTGCTATGTAACAGCTTGCTAGGACTGTGCAGTCCTGTCTGTGTACCAACTTGATGGGGTGGTATTGTCCTGGCTGTCTGACAGCTTGGTGGGTCGTTGCTGTCCTGGCTGTCTGACAGCATGGTGGGGTGGTGGTGTCCTAGCTTTATAGCTGTGTGACAGCTTGGTGGGACGTTGCTGTCCTGTCTGTGTGACAGCTTGGTGATTCTGTGCTATCCCGTCTGTGTGACAGCTTGGTGGGACAGTGCAATCCTGGCTGTGTGACAGGTTAGTGGGACTCTGTTATCCTGGCTGTGTGACAGCCTTGTGGGACGGTGATATCCTGGCTGTGTGACAGCCTTGTGGGACAGTGATGTCCTGGCTGTGTGACAGCCTTGTGGGACAGTGCTGTCCTGGCTGTGTGACAGCCTTATGGGACGGTGATGTCCTGGCTGTGTGACAGCTTGGTGGGACGGTGATGTCCTGGCTGTGTGACAGCCTTGTGGGACGGTGATGTCCTGGCTGTGTGACAGCTTGGTGGGACGGTGATGTCCTGGCTGTGTGACAGCCTTGTGGGACAGTGATGTCCTGGCTGTGTGACAGCTTGGTGGGACGGTGATGTCCTGGCTGTGTGACAGCTTGTTGGGACGGTGATGTCCTGGCTGTGTGACAGTTTTGTGGGACGGTGATGTCCTTGCTGTGTGACAGCTTGGTGGGACCGTGCAGTCCTGGTTGTGTGACAGGTTAGTGGGACTGTGATGTCCTGGCTGTGTGACAGCCTTGTGGGACAGTGATGTCCTGGCTGTGTGACAGCTTGGTGGGACGGTGATGTCCTGGCTGTGTGACAGCTTGTTGGGACGGTGATGTCCTGGCTGTGTGACAGTTTTGTGGGACGGTGATGTCCTTGCTGTGTGACAGCTTGGTGGGACCGTGCAGTCCTGGTTGTGTGACAGGTCAGTGGGACTGTGATGTCCTGGCTGTGTGACAGCCTTGTGGGGCAGTGATGTCCTGGCTGTGTGAAAGCTTGGTGGGACCGTGCAGTCCTGGTTGTGTGACAGGTCAGTGGGACTGTGATGTCCTGGCTGTGTGACAGCCTTGTGGGACAGTGATGTCCTGGTTGTGTGACAACCTTGTGGGGCAGTGGTATCCTGGCTGTGTGACAGCCTTGTGGGACAGTTGCTGTCCTGGCTGTGTGACAGCTTGGTGGGACGGTGATGTCCTGGCTGTGTGACAGCCTGTTGGAATGGTGCTGTCATGACTGAAACTGTTATTTTTTCTCCTTTTTGTCGTCGGTTTTCTTTCCTTATCTGTTGGTTCCTTATTTGATTCAACGATTTGTTAAATTATCAACACTCTAAATTAACAAATATGTATCAAATACAATCTGTAAAATGTTTGTTATTTCTTATATCATCCTTAGACATCAATATATCATTTTATATCGTTTGCAACAACGGCTTTTAAGGGTAAACATTGGATTATATTAAAAACATTTATACCGACTGTTAACCTTTGAAACAGGGTAACGTACGAGATCGGTCGGTATCTGCAACAAAGAACTTTGTTCCAACAGTTTACGAGAGTTTTAATTGCAAGTGAAGATTTTCACTTTCGTTTTATAAAATCAAATCGTTGTCTTTACAAAGGATAGAAAAAAACGTTATCCAATGTAATTATTTGTTTTGGAAAAGTGTACAAGTTGTTGAAAATATTACTCATATTGGGGTATTGTTGAATTAAATCAGATAGAAAAGATTCATCCTGTAAAACTATGTTAAAATAGTGTTACCCTGGCTCTTATAAAGTTATAAGGCCCACTCTAGAACTCTTAACCCATTATCTGCTGGAGGATTTTTTTTACAAATAATCTCATTCAGATGATGACTTTTATTTAAGAAATAACGCATGATTGCAATGTTTGCTGTTCATTCTACAAATCGAACAAGAAACAATTTTGTCCCATCCAATTGAAAAGTTTGTCATCAGTTCTAAACTGAGCTAATGAACAGATTCCATGATAAAACTCTGGAGCGCTTTACAGTTCAATCATCAATATAATTGTCATACACAAACTAATGCTGTGTTGAGCTTTCGCTGTAGGTGGGACTGTATACCTGTCATTAAGGTTGGTTTACATATTTCCTCAGCAGATTCCAACTCACATAAACAAAACTTTAGCACGAATAACGGTTGCAAAATACAAATAGATTGCTGACATAATGTAACGGAAATACGGAGAGGTCAACGTTGACGCTCCAATGCTATATTGTATGTTAACCTCTCTGAGTTGAAGGTGAAGTGTACCCCGTTTACAATAATATTAGTCTCATTGCAGTAAAAGTGAAATTCCTTTTTCGTGAGCACTTTTACCTTCAATGACAAGTTATGTCCGTACTTTGTATTGTTTGTGGCGTCATAATACTGATGACGTCATCATTGCATGTGCAATCTTTAAATTAAACAATCTGTTGAGGAACCTCATAAGAGGTGAACGGCTTAGAGACACTGTCTTGAATATTTTTCTCATTACCTTCAATGTGATATTCTTTCTAATGAATGATACATTGATGTTCAAATGAACTTTGCAAACAAGGTTCTAGTATAGGATGGGTGGAGAAGATTCAAACATGATATATTCCAAGGCTTTCTGATCAGATCTAGGCAAGCATGTTTTAACTTATGTATAAATCATGATTGGCAATTTAAACATTAAATATTCATTACAAAACAAAAGCGAACCAATACCGAACCTGACATTGGCTGTTTTGACGCCATGAACAAAGTAACGGAATGCTAGTGCATGTAGGCTGTAAAGTGTCAGTAAAGGTAACAGCTTATGTAGGTAATAAACGTTTTATCAGGAATAGATATGTTTCTCAAACAATGCTTATTAAGCTTAACGGCAAGTAAAGAGAGAGCTAAACTTTCTTGTTTTAATACGTAAATAATATAATGCATACCTTAGAATTCAGAAATTAATATTATCACATGAAAAACACACAAATGTGAGAAGTTCCTTTCCTATTTTAATCATACCTAACATGTCAGTAAACTAGTTAGCTTGGTCATTCAAATGAAACAAAAATGTGTATATGTACTCGGTGGTAAAATCAGACGGCGTCATTTCTCCTCCTATTCACTAAGGGTGACGGTAGTTAGTCGCAAAAACGTTGTTTAATTGTCAGAATTTTCAATATGGATAACATCTTGGGATTAACAAAATGCATTTTGTTTGTGTTTGCTGTCCCAGCGACTTCTAAGTTAGGTATGATATCACTGACGAACGTTCTCAACGTATCGGTCGTCATCGACACATGTTGTACGGTTATTGATTTTAAAATTATCGATTTTAGACTGAATCACCTAATCTATGTATTAAGAGAGGAGACTGTTTATTTAGTTCAAACCTGCAATGTTTTCCTAATCTATAAGTTCCTTTGTCGCTGAGATTTTTAAACCAACAATGGGACGGACATAAATTATTCTTATGTCACCCAACGTGGCAACCTCGTTTGTTATGTAACAATGATATTTACATAACTCGCTAAAGCTCGTGTCTTTCGTAACTTTTGAAAATTAACTAACTCGAGTGAAATAAATACCATATTCAACAACCACTCGTTGTGTAACCTCTATTTATTATATGGCAAACACGGAGGAGTGCCGAGGTTACACTGCAACAAGGAATGAGCTCTCTGATGTTCCGATTGGCCAGGTACGTAGATACACTTCATGTAATACTGATGATAGTAGTCTTTATTCATACTTGATTGTAAAGCTTGTTTTAACGACCCGTCCAAAATTTAGTCACGTAGTTATGAAATTTACAATCATTTACAAAATGTTCATAAAAAGAGAATCATTATAATAAAACATGAAGAAATACAATTGTATAAAACATCCCCTACAGTACTTGGGTAAGTCCATAAAACATCCCCCACAGTACTTAGGTAAGTCCATAAAACATCCCCTCCAGTACTTAGTTAAGTCCATAAAACATCCCCTACAGTACTTAGGTAAGTCCATAAAACATCCCCTACAGTACCTGGGTAAGCCCATAAAACATCCCCTACAGTACTTAGCTAAGTCCATAAAACATCCCCTACAGTACTTAGGTAACTCCATAAAACATCCCCTACAGTACTTGGGAAAGTCCATAAAACATCCCCTACAGTACTTGGGTAAGTCCATAAAGCATTCCCTACAGTACTTGGGTAAGTCCATAAAACATCCCCCACAGTACCTAGGTAAGTCCATAAAACATCCCCTACAGTTCTTGGGTAAGTCCATAACACTTCTCTGCAGTGTGTTTAAAAACCGCATGCATTTCTAACATGTCAGGTAAAATATTCCATGTATATGGTCCCTGATACGTAAAATATTCCATGTATATGGTCCCTGGTTGATAAAATATCCCATGTATGTGGTCCGTGGAAGGTAAAGGAAAATAAAGGTAGGTACATCAAGTTATTTGACAAATATCTAGTAAAGCCTGACTGGACATTCGTAGTGTATTACAGTGGTTAAGATACTGAGGAGCCAATCAATGTAAAAATAGTGTACATCAAAACTGACTGTTAAGCGTTATATGAACGTGTAACAGACGTTTTAAAAAAGGTAGCCAGTTCAATTTCTTATACATGTCACTGGACGGAGTATTAAAGTCGCAGTTTAAGATAACCCTTGTTCCTCTTTTTTGAAGTTTATCAAGTT